TAATATTATATTATATTATATTATATTATATTGCATTATCTGAATTTCCCCAAAGCAAGGACTATTTATTTGTTTGTTTGTTTGTTTATTTATCAGCGCACTCTACTCCACACACATATAAAACACCTAAAGCAGATACACACACACACACACACACACACACATAGACAAACAGACAGGCATGCAGTACATACTAAGCAAATCTGTTTGAAGTGTGGGATTGAATAAAAAAGAGACAGGGGCATGTGTGTGTGTGTGTGTGTGTGTGTGTGTCAGAGAGAGAGAAAGAGAGAGCAAGCGAGTGAGTGTTCACAAAGCTCTGATTCCTTTTCTGGCCGTGGGGAGTGAAAAGGGGGTGGACTCTGTAAAGAAAGAGAGAGGGAGGAATCGTGTGCATGTGTTTCAGTGCAGGGCAGCTGCCAGCATTCCTCAGGCAGCAAGAGGCGAATCCCGACTGCTGGATTCCAGCCCCTCTCCTCCATGAGAGAGATAAGAAGAGGGATAGATGACAAAAAGGACCGGGATGCCTGACACAAGAAATGGACTAACTGACACTGTTCCAGGGAGGGAGAGCATTAAAGGCAGAGAGAAGTACTAGTGTGGTTTGTTGCTCGCTGGATGGTGCAAAGGGGAATTAAATGACATGAATGTGAAGACGAAAAGTTCTGGAGATAATGTAATGACTTTAAACTTCCATCATCTGCAGATGTTTGTGCATTGAGAATGGGCAGTGATCACCGGAGAACCACTTGCAATGACTTTTTAACTAGTTTGTTTTTGAATCGCTCTTTTTTGATGGCAAAATGTAGGTATGGACACACAGACAGTACCGTTTTTTTGCGTCCCGCCTGCGTCGTTCTGGCTATGAGTTGTGAATACATTAGATGATGGATTGGAAAGAAGTGTGAGTACTTTTAAAGGTTTTTTTCTCTCTCTCTCTCTCTCTCTCTCTCTCTTTGTGTGTGTGTGTGTGTGTGTGCGCAGTGGTTTTTGACCCATAGACGTCAGTTGCAACACACCCGTCTTAACGCCAGGAATTCTCGCTCCGTCCTCTGAGCTCACCTGCCAAACTCTACAAAGGCTGCTGTCTGATTGTTTATACATACTTGGGATATGGATTGCTCCTTGACTGTGGAACATGTCAAAGCATGTTTGTTTAGAGTAGCGTGTGCCTGCTGCGGTGAGCTTGAGCTGGTGGACAAGTAAAAAGTGCAAGCACATGGATGTATGCTTTATAGCTGCTCTCCATTCATGAACTGAGCCAGTTTTTTTTTTTGAGGAGATGGAGAGAATGAAATAGAGAGGGAGAGAGCATGTGTGCTTCAACAAGCAATTAATTTCAGCATTAGTGTACAGGTGTGCGTGCAGAGAATGCTTGAGCTGTTGTTGTGGATTCGTGAAGTGCTTTATTACTGTACAAGCATTTAATCTCAAACCTTCCCAACTTATAAGTTGCATTTTGGGGGGTTTCCCCAAAGATTGAATATACAATAACAGAATATTCATTCTATTCATTCACTACAAAAACATTTTTTCAATGAAAGTATCTGAACATCCCTAATGTATTTTTCATTCATTCATTCATTCATTCATTCATTCATTTGATTGTGTTTGTTTTAAAACAGATTACCAGATCAATTTAAAGAAAACAAAAATTAATATTTTATTTTATTTTATTTCATTTCAACATTTCTGGTCAACCTGATTATAAATGTTGACTTGTAGTATTCAAAATGTTTAAACCTAAATAAATTTATTTTCTTTTTTAATTCATATTTTATTCGATTTTTTTTTTGTTTTTATTTTGTCATAAGAAATTTAGTTCAATATTCTTTTATTTCATATATTTATACCAATATTTTTTACATTCTTAAAGATAATTTTACAAGAGAAATATATGCACGTTACATCATCACTTGTCAAACTTGTCTATTGACTCTGTCTATTGCTTTCTGTTTTTTTTTTACTTGTTCATTTCTCTGTCTTTCACTCATAATGCTTTCTGAATGCAGTGCTCACACATTTCTTTAATCCTCTTCGTCTGTTTGTACACATGCAGACACACACACACACACACACACACTCTCTCTCTCTCTCTCGCTCTCTCTCTCTCTTGCATCCTCTTGTGGGCCATCGATTCCCCGGGCAGGGGCCGCTCCTGTATTCCTCCTGGCTGTTATAATTATTTCATCTGCTAGCAGTGTGTTCTCTGAGTGTGTTCTTGGGCTGACGCGGATGGCTGTAAGGAGCTAGAGAAAAGAGGGGTGGGGCAGAGAAAATGGAGGGAGAGTAAAAAGGACGGGAGGGGTTATCACTTCTAGAGGTATGGAGTGATGCAGAGAGGGGTAGAAAAAAGGGTGTAGAATTGCCAGACATACTGGGGAACACACACTTGAACGTCCAAAGGGCTGGTGCTTACACTAATGATCAGGGATTGTGCGTCTCAGAGAAAAAAAAAAAAAAAAAAGGCAAAAAAAACATTTTTTTCCAGTCCTTTAGTACATCAAAGAACTAAAAGCATTTCTCACTTTCACTGTTCGCCAGTGCTGTAGTAGTGTTTTCTGTAACTCAAAGTTCTTAACCTTTTTGTATTGGCAGGCGCACTGTCCCATACGGCATGTCGAGTTATAGAGGCTCTCAGCGGGGACGGCGTTCTGCCAAGGGCAGTGTTGGAGGGCAACGCTAAAAAAAAGGCAAGAAAGACATTTCTTGTCACAAGCACACTCTATAATGCCCAGTTTTGACTCCCTCTTGTTCTCTTCTGCTTTCCCATCTCCTGACTTTCATTTGATTTGATCTTATCACAGGTTACACAAACATAATTAGCACACAAATATTCCATAATTTTTGTAATTCTAAATCCATCACGTTTGCATTATAGGAGTAACTGAGAGCATAGTTTTATGGGAAACCTTAAAAAAAATCCATGTGACACTTTTTTTCTCGTATATTTTAAATAAATGTAATTACTAGTTTGTATGTATTCATTTCCAAAAAAAAAGACCATTTAAAATTCTGATATAGTGACTAACAAAGTCATGTGGTGCTGCCATTGTGCAGAAACATGCTAAAAAAATTTTTTTTTTAAATAAATAAAAGAAAATTATTTTACCTTAGTTCAGGTTAGCTCTGGTTGTAAAATGATGAGTGGTGTGACTTTCCAAAAACATACTTATCTTCATTAATTAATAATTCCTGATATTTTAAACATGTACTTTTTACCTTAATTAAAAAAAAAACCTTTTTGAAAATAATGATTAAAATGTGTACACTCACATGTACTGAATATGTAAGAAACTTACCTTTTACTCGATGGTTACATTTTTTTTATAGTCAGTAAATTTCAAATTTACCTAAACAATAGTGTAAAACTTTTTCAAAACCTTATCAATATACTAAGAGTACATGTACAATTCACCTGATGTGTTATTCTTCTCTTCTTTTAAAAAATGCTCTCTATAATGTGTGTAAGGGATGAAAAAGGAAGAGTGGGATGGCAATTATTAGAGATCCAATGTGCTACTGTAATGTGTGCTCTTAGCATTTAAGTATTGTTCAGATTGTGATTTTCGGTGTACTTCACTTTTGATTACTGCTGCATTTAGTGTGATCACAGTCAGATTTGGTCAAAGACTGCTGTGTTGTGGACAGCTTTCCTTTAGTTAGTTCTTCACTGTTACACTTCAGCCAAAGCGAACAGCCTTAATACACCTCTTAATGTGAGCTAAGCCCCAAAACGTCACTTGATAGCCTTTGGTTTTTCACTTCTCTTTTCTCTCTCTCACTCTCAATCTTTTAGTTTCCCTCACTTGCACTCATTCGTTCCTCTCACACTGGTTTTACTCATAGGTTCATTCAATCACAAGAACATTTGAAAAGTTCAGTCTTATGATATAGCTTGTTGGGAAGGTAAAGGTCTTGTTGCTTGTTGCTCTTATTGCTCTACTATTTCTGGGGTCCAGGAGTGACATCTCACATAGATTTTTAGATTAATTTCAAGATTATAACTGGGTCACTGTAAAGCCAAACTTAGCAAATGGCTAATGTTAGGGCTAACCACAGGGCTGACCCCATTAGACTCCATTTGACATTTTTAGAGGACATTTTTCAAGGGTTTCTGAGCACAGTGTGCCTATTTAGTTGTGAAATAAAGAAGGGGAAGGCTGCCTGTGGAGAAAGACGGAGTTGGTCTGTGTTTACTTTGGCAATGCGATAGGGGGCTTTTGACCTTTCAGGTCTGATTTTATAGCATTGAGTTTTAAATGTCAAGCTCTACCATTAAATCAATCAGGAAAAGACCAAAAATGATTTTCTTACATACACACATCTGTCTGAGTGAAAAAGAATATTCTTAAAACATGTAGGGTTCCTTGGAAAATCACTTCGCTGTGGTGACAAAGGGATTTGGCTTGATTTTAATGGAACCCCCTTTGAGAGAGCAATTGGATTTGGGGGGTTTTGGTCGACTGCTTCGATGAACCTTTGTTTTTAATGCTACAAAATACCTCATTCTACACCTCTGTGTATATATACTGTATATATATTTGGCTGAAGTTCACAAAGTACACCAAAATGTTGTTTTTCATGAGGGTTTTCCAACCTTTGCCCAAAACATTAGAACTGAACAGACAGTTGTTGCTACTGTGTCTTTAAGACTTCTATATATAAATGTCATCTGTTGTGATTGGATAACCTGAATAGGTCTTGTTTTTGCAAACACAGGTGGTCATATGTTGTCGTGGTTCTGGTTCTGGCATGAATTGCATGACGATCTGATTCTCAAACCAAAAAATAATGCACAAACCTAAAAAAAATGTTCTCACATTCATTTGACTCAATATTATAAGCTCTTAATGTGTGTTATTTATTTATTTTTGTCTATATTCTCAGGGCTGCTCAGAAGCTGAATCTATCATCCAAACGAAAGAAGCAGCAGCCGCCACTGGTATACCCCCAGGAGCCCTCTATCTACCCTACTAACTTTAGTGCTGTCCTCCAGTTTTCGCCTCCACCTGCTCCACCATGTCTGCTCAGGGCGGGGTCAAAGGCCAAGGAGAACCCTGGCATGGGCAAGGTCAGACACCCAGCACACCACATCAGAGCAGTATGACAAATGCTTTCTTCTTTTAACTGCACCATTTAGGTTGTTGATTGGGAATTCTCACCATTAGTCTTTTACAAAACGTTTGAAATACTTAGCATCCATTATCCAGTCGAACCCAAATAGAAAGTGATGGTTATTTTGCTGATGATGAACCGATTGTGTGCTTGGGATCGCGGATTATGATTGTGGCCAAGTGTAGCTAGTTGTTCAGAATCTACACACCACCCCTCCTCATTGTCCAGAGGGTTTGTCTTTAGCACCATATTACAGTATATATAGTGATGGAGAGGATTTGTTCCAGATTAGATGCCACCTGCTCTGAGAGATGATTGTAGAACATCATGCCAAAAGCTGTAGCCCTCTGAAATGATTGATAAGTACCCACTGAGAATGGACTCATTACATCCCAGCCTCACTAATGAGCTTCCTGTTCCTACTACTGCAAACACGCATCTGATGCTGCCTGAATGGACTCCAGTTGTTGGCAGCTTTTGGGAGATCTATAAAAAGCTACATGCATTAGAATAATGGCTCAGCCGTCTGTACCCATTTTGTTTGCGCAATGACCAAATTGTCCAGAAGGATGCAAGACATGTGCTGTAATTCCAGCTGCTATCGCGCTCCAAAAATGTACAAAAACAACATCAAAGTGGATCTTATGACTATTGCACTATATTCCAAGTCTTCAGAAGCCATGCAATAGATTTGTGTGAAGAACAAGCTGAAAATTTGCTGAAAATAGCTCCAATGGAGCTCTGAAATCCCATTCACGTCATTAATGATGTCAATTTGGTGCCATTGGTTCTCACGTGTCTCATGACCAGTTGACAGTGACATGCAAGTTTGAATGGGTGCAAATGTGATTGATTGAGTGAATGATGTATGGGAAGATTTTTTATTTATTTTTTGTTGAAAATGACTAAAGCCCCAAACATTTTGCAAAAAGTTGTGCATTAATACACCGCAAAGTGCTGTGAAATGACTACAGCCAACTGTGAGAGGAAATCGCTCTCCATTCCAGCAGGCAGCAGTAGTCTGTATTCATCATTAAATAAGAGAAATCAGAAGAGCCATGACCGCAAATGTACAAACCATAAATAAAGCACTTTGCTTACCATTTTTACACCAATCTCGCTCATCAAAGACAGATTTGATGAAAATCACGAGATGAAGAGGAAAAATAGAAGAGCCTATTGTGAGTCCTATTGACTTTGTTTGCTAGCTTTAGTCTCTTCCGTTTTTTCTTCTTGTTCTTGTTCACTAAGCTAATCAGCCAATCAGAGTGATCTCCCTCACTCACAGGCTCAAACAATGATTCAACATGCTTAATCAGTTACAAAGCTGCTGACGCCGGTCTGACTAATGCGAAACACACCACAAAAACTAGTCTGACTTACAATGACGGTTCGTACTTACTTAGACTTAATATTGTTGTCTGTTCCTCACACAAAGCTATTGTATATGCCTCAAAACTTAGAATTATTACAGAGCACAAGTTGTCGGTAGATTCTGACACATCAAGATAATTACTGTTTGGAGTGCCTCAGAAACTTGTGGGACATAATTTCTAGGCCAGAGTTTAGGAGGTGTGAAGCCAGCAGCCATGCTAGGGGGGGATCAAACTCTCCTCACGTATCAAATTGCCAACAAATGTAAAACTCAACGGTTCAACCCAAGCCCACATTTCTGTGGTGTCTGGGTGGCTGGTTCCATTCGAGGGGCAGTCATATATGGAAGCCTATTTCCAATGTCACGGCCGGCGTAATTCGTTCACCACGTGCACATGTCCATCAGTGTAATCCGCCCCTGTGGAGCGGTGAGGGGGAGTTCATGTCAGGCCGCCGCTGTGGCGCAGGCATGCCGCTTGGCCCCGGGTGCCGTGGAAGAGGATCAGCAGTGCAGACATTGTTTCGTAGCACTGGAGCCCGAATGTTGTAATTATATCTCTGCTACAGATCAACCGTGGAATACTGTGGCTTTGTGCAGCTCTGAATGCTGTATTAAGGGCATGAGGTTCTCTTACAGTATGTTTGTTTTGCTTTACTGTATTCGCTGCAAATGGTCTTAGCAGTGAACCGTGACACAACCGTGACAATGTGTGGTATTACCAAAAGCAGTATATTAGTTAATGGCTGGTTTTGTTAGTTTACTCTGTATGTGGTCAAGAGTGATGATACGATAAAGGTTTTTCTTTTTCTTGAAGGAACATTCCCTCTCTTTTTCAGCTGTTTTTTCAGCTTTTTCAGCTGTGTTTGACTTGAAAGCAGTTCTTGTTGAAACAGTAACAGCTACTCCACAGTCATAAGTGCTAAGGCAATTTTTTCTAATGATATGTTTTTTGTTTTTATAAAAAAACTATGATTTTTATTAATACATTGTTCACTCAGTTACACAGAGTGTAAGGAAAATATGCCATTACTTTTTACTTCATGGTTATGCCACCTGACATTTTACATCTTGAACTTGGCAGATGCTTTTATCGAAATAATTTTGAGAGTTTTGACACTTTCAAAACTGCATGAAACCAACATGAATACAAAGTTAAAATTCTAAGAATTTGGCATGTGTTTAAACTAGGTTTTCCTTTGGAAATCATGGAAGCTATTTCTTGTCATTTACTTATCAATCACTTTATGTGACCTATAGTGTCAATGTAATTCTCTGCTTCTGCTTATATTTTAATAGCATTGTTTCCTTTTTGTTCCAGGTCAAAGTTATGATTCGGATCTGTCCATCTCTGGGGATTGTGGATTCATCCGAGTCCATGTCCTTCCTGAAGGTGGACACTCGTAAGAAACAGCTGACCCTCTACGATCCCTCACTCAACACACAGCCCACCTCAGTGCATAGACGAGCAGTGCTGCCCGCCCCAAAGATGTTTGCCTTCGACGCTGTTTTTTCCCAAGATGCCTCTCAAGTAAGAGCCGCTGTGAAGATGTTATCATTTTGTTGCCATTTGCTTTTGAGTTTTGAAGTGAAAATATTTTGTTAGTGTCAAAAAGATATTTGAGAAGCACACGCACACATTCTTTGCAGGGCAAGGGGCTTAATGTAAAAAGGCCTGTTTTGGGATACCATCTTTCTGCAAAGTATGAGCCCAACAGCTGTATCTTTAAGTATAGAAAATAGTTTGAATTCCAGACTCGCATATCTAGCAGCTTATTCACAGTTCATTATCTGTCCTCCAAAGCTGCAGTGGCATCCATCTTTAGATAAGTGGCTGACTAATGGACACAAATAGGGAAGAGGAACTTTAGGAGACACACAAACTTGAAGATGATTAAGTGTGAAGAATTTAGATGTGACATAAAGCCACTTAAGGTTGTCATCTTGAAGTACTGAAGCCAGATATTGTAAGTTCTGCTTCAAAATATGTCAAGCAAAGACAGACAGGGACATTTTGGTGTCTTCTAAGATACCATAGATCTAAGATACATAATTTTGGGCAAATTTTAACGCCAAAAGTATGCTTCAGTTTTGACATAAATGCTTAGCGTATGTATACATCCGAATTCATGTGCATGAACGCAGGTCATTAGAAAGTTGTAACCATGTCCAGTGTCAGTGCTGTTTATCTCCAGAAGTTATGAGTTCCCTTAATTCCCTCACACTAACATTTGTCAACACAGGCATCTATAATTGTCTTCAGTAGTTTGTTGTTATGAAAAAATCTGGCTGTACGGCTTGAGTACGTGCTTACTATGCTCATTTTGGTCATACGACATTAGTATACATGTAAAAAACGAGTGGTGGCAGTGTTATGAGAAATTTTGATTATCAATACATTTCCTTCTGTACCAAAACATAGATAAAATACTTAAGTCTAATTAAACATTCTAGTTTACCTAATATTTGTGTTAACTATATGTATATGCTTATTGAAGTGTCATGTTGTTAGCTTAGCAATGTGCTAACAACAAACTCTATTACAATATATTAGAGTTGCTGCCTATGAGTAACATTCCAAAATATTCACTTTTGAGGTTCCATTTCAGTTTGGATGCTACTTTAAAAAATGTTGACATTGGACAGCAAAGCCATTTTCTTTTGCTAAGGAACTGAACTGTAATATCATTTTTAGTTAAAGAACTCACATGCACAAGACAAGATCTATGGAGCTTATCGATTAAGAGTTCCTTTACTCACGGCCAGCAGAAGGCTTTGAGGTCTCGGTTCTCAGTGCCAGTGAAGTCATGTAACTGTAAATCCTCCAAATCTACTGTGTTTGTGGTTTAGTGAGACTGCAGGGACATATTCACTGAGCTGTTGTTCCGTTTTTGTGTGTGTGTGTGTGCGTGTGTGTTATGATGTATGGGAGGAAATTGCTGCAAATTGTCTCCAGGGACTGAGGCTAGTGGAACAGATTGTAGAGTTATGGCTGCACAGTGCAGCCGGTGTAAAGGCCCCCATGTCTGATGAATCTGTGATGAGGATCTGCCTTGTTTGTGCTTTCTGTAGTTTTCTTTTGCTAGTGAATAAATGATCTCCGGATCAAAGAAAAGATTAGCTACTTTCTACTGTGCCAAAAAAGGTTTGGTTACGTTTCACAGCTCAACTGAATGTTAAAACCCATCAGAACATTGATGTGCACTGTTCTTTAGACTTTGAAATAAAATTTTCCCTCAGTGCAGCATAGTTGCCCTTAAAAAAAAATAAAAAAAGTAAATATACTTTATTTATAGTATATTGGGAACTGCAATATAGTACATGTTTTAAAATGATCTTGGATGTCTACATGGTTTTTGCTTTTATTTATGTGTATATATAAGAATGTATGTATAAGTATTTTGGACCCCATTGACTTTATTTATAGCGGACTAGCTATATGATGCATGTGTTAACTTATTATAATACCAGATACGTTTTGAGTGTTTCATTGTTTTCCACAGGCTGAAGTTTGCTCAGGGACAGTGGCTGAAGTTATTCAATCAGTGGTCAACGGAGCCGATGGATGTATTTTCTGCTTCGGTCATGTCAAAGTTGGTAAGTTATCCTTAATACTCTTCAGTGAACTGAATATGACACCCACTGATATCTAATATCAAAACCAAAGTTTAAAAAAGTGCTTTTGCTTTTCAGAATGGGCATGAGTGGGGCATTTAATTGTGAGTGTGTGTATATGAATGATTAGAGGCTAGTGATTGTAATTAAAAGCTGACTAATTGACCCTCACAGCAGACTGCATCAGAGTTCTGCACTATTGCCAATTATGCTTGTTAGATGTTGCAATGGTTTCCTGCATCATTTACTACATGCAGTCTAAGTGTTTAAGCATTATTTATGACTCTTTTAAAGCCAGACTGTCCATGTGGGACAGTATTCATCTCTAGTTGTTTGTTTTGTTATTATTTATTTATTGTTTAAATTATGTATTTATTTATTGTTTAAATTGTATTCTTTTATAATAAAGAATACAATTACACTCCAAACGTGATGCGATGCAGTAAGATCCCATTGATAAACAATTTGCCTGTTCACAATGAATGCAAAAATGCTGTGCGACGCAATGCAGTCACAGCCAATCATATCTGATGGCTGTGTGAAGCTTGATTTTGGACTGATGGGATTTGTGGCTGGGGCCAACCAACATGATGAAGCAGAAATAGAAGCCAAGCTGTTGACAAAATGTAGTATCTCATGTCATATTCACAATTGGTGTAAGATTTGTAAAGGACGTGAGTCATGACTGTTTCCCATAAACGTTGCATATTTGTCGTTCGAACCATGTTGGTTAGACCTGTCGTTAATTACGTCAAGCAGGTGGTGGTTATAACTTGTGCTAATTATTCAGTTTGAGATCAAATTAATTTCAGATTATTTAAGTAAATAACGAATATGGCACCTGAGTACTGATTCGCTATTTCTGTTCTGCATTATTCTGCGGGTTTCCTTTCATCACTCCGGGTTTCCCCCGTGGTACTAGAGCAAGTACCCACATACACACTTTTCAGAAATGGCGCTTTAACTCTCTTAACGAACTTAAAGATGTGGAATGAAATTTGTATATTTATGGAATGAAAGATATAGATTATACTACGTGTTAGCTTGCTTATTATGCTCAAGTGCCTAATCTATTTAAGTCCACATATTATCAAGAAACTATGTTTTTAACCACAGGTTGGGAGCAGTAGTTTTCAACAACTTTGAAACTACTGATTCGGAAAATACCAAACTGAACTATGTTGGTTACAATGTAGTCTTATATAGACAGCAGATGGTCTGGACTCCATTGCAGCTTTCATTGACCAACTTGGCCACCTAATAGACCGTCTGACAGACATGTAAACCAATCAATCACAGTTTGTTTTGTTGAGCATCATTTTTAGGGCTGTGTAAAGTCGATGCCCAATAACAGTAACAGACCGGCATGCAGCCAATTAATAATTCATAAAAGAATGTCGTCTTCAGTCATCAAGAGTCTATGCCATGTACTTCAAATACTTTTGAAAATCAGGCGTTTAGTTGATCCAGATGAGTAATCATTGTTACAGTTGTAAACACAACGGCTTTCTTCATCAATGAGGGGTTTGGCGTCACAACTGCTTTGTTTCCAGATGGACCGTTAAAGATTGCGACACACACATTCCCCAGAAATCCTGTGGAGTTCAACCAATCAGATGACAACTTTGAAACTGCCGAAGTGTTTCCCATTTTGCATGCCTTACGCATCAAACCTTCAGCCAATGGTCCTTCGGCATGACGTCTGAAGCTGAGACTAGATGGAAATTGCGACCATATTTGTCGCGTCTTATATACACTCTCTCCAGGCAAGTTACTGAAATTGGAGACAGGTGGTAATCATCAAACACTTGATCTACTTTCTTATCGCTCGACTCCCGACTCGTTCTCCCGTTGCCAGCTACGCTTTACCACACCCCTTGCCACAGCATCTGTAAGGGTAGTAAAAAACGAAAACCGAAAAAAAAAAAAAATAAATTCTGAATTGATTCTGAGTCAGAGATGCTATTCAAGTACTAATAATGTGTTATGATTGGTGGTGATGATATCTCATCAAATCAGCTGAAGAAATACCAGTACTTGATCATCATCCTCACCTTGCCAGAATCAACAGCTCTCTCTCTCGCTCTCTCTCTCTCTCTCTCTCTCTCTCACCAGGCAAGACATACACCATGATTGGCTCGGACAGCTCCACGCAGAGCCTTGGCATTGCACCCTGTGCCATCTCCTGGCTGTTTAAGCTCATCAACGAGCGCAAGGAGAAGACTGGCACACGCTTCTCGGTACGGGTGTCAGCCGTGGAAATCTACGGCAAGGACGAGAGCCTGCAGGACCTGCTTTCTGATGTGCCTACAGGAAGTCTGCAGGACGGCCAGTCGTCTGGTGTCTACCTGCGTGAGGACCCCATCTGTGGCACACAGGTCAGTAAGACCACAACTAGACATCGACTTTAGCTTGTTTTTCCTGATGAAGCATTCCCAGTCTTGCTTATCATGTAGTACCAAGTGTGCCGCATATGTCCTGAAAATGGAAGCCAAAACATTTTTATCGCTCCCCTGGAGTATAGGTCATAAACCCCGCCCCCTCTCCATGTAAACAAATGGGACATGATCCAAATAAATAAATCAAATTAAACTTCAAATAAATGTTTTTCCCAAAGATGTTTTGGTTTGTGATTTGATGTTATAAAAATGGGCTATGAAATCATAAAGGTACACCATCCATCTTATGCAACGGTTTATGGTAGTAACATACACTTTAAAAAGGGAAAATGAGCAGTTGTTGTTAGAGGCCGACTAATAAAAAGCTTTTCAGTGATTGATTTTATATTATTGTAATTTTTAAAAATATTTTTTATATTGCAAAATTTTGTTTGTAGAAACTCTCAGTCTACACAGATAATTATGATACATCCTTGATGAATAAAATTATTAAATTATTAATTTGTCAAAAAAACTAGCGTGTATATTTTGTGTTTTATATTGTTTGTATTGTAAAATGTACAAAAATAATATTAAAAGAATACATTAAAATATATATTTATAATATACAATTTTACAATATAAATACATTTTTATATTAAACAATTTTATTATTTTACAATATAAAAAAAATATAAAACCCAAAATATATTCAACATGCTTGTTTTGGGTCATATTAAGCAAGTATTCAATTCAATTCATATTTAATATATTTCTATTTTGAGACAGTAGAGAGTCGGAGAGAGACAGGGGAATGGGATCAAAACTCAATATCTAGAAATGCCTAGGTCACGCCTCTGTTGATCATTGTATCATATTTGTTATCAGTTAAGTAGTTTTCATAGATTTTAGCTGCCCCTCACTTAACAGTAAAAGTTATTACAGAATACTTTTAGCTGAGCTTAATCACTAAATCTCAAATTAAAGGCCAGATGTTGTGGTGGTTCTTTTTAAACAGTGCACCATCAGGATCCATCTGAGTGAGCTGCTGTGCTGTTTCACCCTCCCCCTTACCCTCTGTTGGAAGGGGGTAAATATCAGGAGGGGGTAGGTAGAGTTTGGGCGTAGGTAGAGGGTAGTTAAAACCACTGCCAGGTGTTGGCATCAGATGTTGTTTTTTGGGGGGATCCATATGAAGCAGCACATCAAAGACTGGCTAGAGGCCTGTGAAGTTCAAATCTGGGGAGTGGGTTTATACGCCCATTACTACTCCCAGCATTCTCTCCTTACTTTAGTTTTGTGTCTCGCTGGCCACAGGCGGTTGGCGAACACTACAGGAAAGTGGACACTATTGTTCTTTTGATGGCTGCTTTTTGATGAATACAACTGATTAAGTCAGTAAGCTTATCAGGAATATCAAGGAAAAACATGCAGGGAACTATAGATCCATTCCATTTAGCCTAATTGCTTGTTTCCTTGAAGAAGACCATCAATATGGCCAGTGGATGTTTCATTCCCTTTGTTTCATCAGGCTTTCTGCAGGAGCATAGATGCTGCCCTCTTGCTCTCTTTATCCACCACTCACTCTCATCAGTACTCCTACCCCCTCTATGGGCGTATTTGTTTCTCTGATTGTCCCAGAGACTTGATTTAATTGTCTAGAACTGTGTAAATAGGCTCAGTTATCTTGATCATCTTCTTTGTCAACACTAACTAGGGATAAGCCATATGACAACACGCAATGAATAGTACAGTTTGGAGTTGACACTTGAAGATTCTATTTCTACCAGATCTGACCTTTAAAAAGTACTGTTATTGGTTTATGTAGTAATAATGAAGTCATATTAAATAATATTTTTGACTTGAATAACATCAGGTTCATTTTTACTGAGTATGACGTTAATATTTAATTTTAAATTATATGATAGTTCATAGTTTTTATTTCCAAAAATGTGTGTGTGTGTGCGTATGTTATAATTCTATATATTTATATATAAGCTTTAAATATAATTCAGAATTTAGAACTGGAATTATCCATATTATACTATCAGATGTTTGTTTAAGTTTTACATCATGTAAAACTGTTGTTGCATTGTTTTGCCATTCATTTGTTATGATTAATGTTATTAATTAATTAAACTATTAGTTAATTAAACTTTTTATTAATTAAAAGTTCTAAATATCAAGATATAATAATCAAATTAGATTAAATTTAAAGTATATAATTAACTGGAATATATAATTTTTTCTTGAATTTACATTAAAAAAGGACTAAAAAAACACAAAATAGAGTTAGTCATACCAAGATTTTGGATCACCAAAAATTTGGTATGACTAGCTAGCACTATCCATGTTTAGTTTCACTTGTCAATATAAGACAGAATAAATCCCACTCTTTCACACACACACACACACCCACCCACCTAAAAATCCTCTCCATGTTGTAGCTCCAGAACCAGAGCGAATTAAGGGCTCCCACTGCAGAGAAGGCCGCCCTTTTTCTTGACGCCGCCATCGCAGCACGTAGCACCAACCGGCCGGATGCAGATGAGGAAGACCGCCGCAACTCCCACATGCTGTTCACCTTACACATCTACCAGTACCGCATGGAGAAGAGTGGCAAGGGGGGAAGTAAGTCTTGTGTTTGCACTTTGTAAAATTATACTGCTATGATGTTGAAGGCTCTGCGTGTGCTAAATCGATTATACTCAGTCTAGTCTAATTCCTTCTCCTCCTCCTCATTTTCCCAGTGAAAGGGAAAACACATCTTACGCTTATTAATGTAATAGCTGTGATACTACAGGCCAAATCAGAGAGTTACCAGAATCCCTTCAATTTGCCTCTCGCTCCATCATAGTAGGAGGGAAATCAATCATGTCTGCTTTGACCACTTCATTAAACTTTAATGGGAATTTTAACAGATAGTAATAATTCATGAGCGCTAACACCTCTAATCATAGTATATAGGTACCTGTCACTGTGCCATCATGGTGCAAATTTGCATAGCTAAATACATCTTTAAATGGCTTCATCAAATCTGTTGATTTCAACAGGTTTTTAGAAAAAAAATAAGAAAAAAAAGCAAATGCCAAAAAATGGCTAGGAATAGAGGGAATAGGTTCCTCCTGCGTTTCACAAATGTAATGATATAGTGTTTCAAAGTCTAACCTTTCTCTATATCACCATGTGTAATAACATAGTGTTGGTCAATTGTCAATTTACCCTTCATCTTTCTGTATTATTTTGTGTGAAATAAAACAATTGTAGCTAAACCATGAATGAAGAAGGTCTTTTACTATCCTTCTTATAGTCATTGAGCAGGAACAACTGTATATTCATTATCCTTTGTAGACATAGCTGAGAATATAATATTTGAAACAGTTCTTCATCAGTACAACATCCAGACTAACACAAAGTTAGCCTTTAGTTTCTAATGGTCTGTTAAATTCACAGGGAAAAGATGAGTAGACAATACATCACCAAGACTCACTTGTCTATATATTTAGAGCACGGTATGAATATAGGTGTATATCTAGGCCATCTTGCTCTGTCTTTGAATCATAATGGGCTGGGTAACTTACTCATGAATAAATTACACACAGTCTTGTCAGCCACAGTTCTTCTCTATATCTGTTATTTACCACTCCTCACTCTGCCCGACATTACCTCAGTGTGGGAGTGTCATCTCAGTTTATGTATGTAACCATGGTTCCCTAAAGGAAAGGAGATACTGCGTCGAAACGCTTTGGGAACGCCTCTGCGTGACCACATTCTGAAGCACGTGTGGATTCAGTCCAACGGAGAAGGAAGACGTCACAGGCGGGGTGACGTGAGCAACCAGGAAGCTGCACCCAGCATAGCACGTTAGCTTCTGATAGAATGAAGGGATGCAGGGAGTATGGCAGAGAGACGCAGCGTCTCGTTCCCTTTAGGGAACCATTGTTACATGCGTAACCTGAGACGTTCCCCCTCAGGGAACCCAAGCTGTGTCGGAACGCTTTGGGAACCAGAATGCCCACTGCACCATACTAACAAGTCCCTGTCTGGTGTTTATCAGGCGAGCACATCAAGACGAGAGGACTTGGGATCCTGGGGTATAAGCCAGGTCCAGATTATAGAACCAAACAAATGTGGGCGGAGAGCACCAGCCCGCTGCATCACAAATTTCCTGCAGGGAAGCACCCATGAATAAGGCCTTAGAGGGTCGAGTGGGCTCTGACCGCCATAGCTGACGGGAGGCCAGCAAACTTTTAAGCAAGTGAGATGGCCTCTACCACCCATCTGTCCAGATTATAGAACCAAACAAATGTGGGCGGAGAGCACCAGCCCGCTGCATCACAAATTTCCTGCAGGGAAGCACCCATGAATAAGGCCTTGGAGGGTCGAGTGGGCTCTGACCGCCATAGCTGACGGGAGGCCAGCAAACTTTTAAGCAAGTGAGATGGCCTCTACCACCCATCTGCTCAGGGTCTGCTTGGTCGCCGGAAAGCCCTTCTTAGGTGGACAAAGCAAACAAACAACTGATCTGCCTTACACCACAGGGCAGCTCTGTGGACGCAAGTGTCCAATGCTCGCACTGGACAGAGCAGATTTAGTTTATCCTGGTCAGCTTCCTTGAAGGGAGGAGGACAGAAGGCTTGCAGCACTATGGGCCCTGGTGTAGAGGTGGGCACCTTAGGGACATACCCGGGCCTCGGGTAAAGGAAGGCCCTAGCATTGCCCGGGGCAAACTCCAGGCACGAGGGAGAAACTGACAGTGCCTGAAGATCCCCTTTCCTCCTGAGTGATGATATCGCGAGGAGGAAGACCATCTTCAAGGTGAGGAACTTATCTGGAACCTCCTCAATGGGTTCAAAGGGGGAATTGCACAAGCCCTCCAGAACCACCGCCAGGTCCCACGAGTGCACCTTGGTGCACTGTGCTGGCCTCAGCCACAAAGTGCCACGGAGGAAATGAGTAACGAGTGGGTTTCTTTTCAATGACTGACCACCCAGAGGGGCGTGGTGAGCAGCTATGGCCGCCACGTACACCTTCAGAGTGAAGGGAGATAACCCTGCTGAGAAACACTCCTGCAGAAGCTCCAGAACTGTACCAACTGCGCAGCTGACTGGGTCTTGCAGTCACTGTCCACACCAAGAAGTGAAAAGTTTCCACTTCAGGGCATACTGTTTCCTCATTGTGGGAACTCTGAACTGGAGTTGTAGTCTTAACAACCTTAGTTAAGGTTAAGGGGGGAGGGGTGGTACGAGTAGCAACGCTCCGTTTCTGGGCCTGACAATATGAGGAGCTAGAGGACGGCTGGAGCAGCTCGACGACAGTATTTATGGTGTCGCCAAAGTGGCTAGAAGGCAAGAGCAGAGCATCCAGCAGGAAGAATCTGTCCTTGTCTTGCCGCTCAGACAGATTCAACCACATATGTCTCTCTGTCGCTACTAGGGCTACCATTGAACGGCTGATGGCTCTGGCCATTTCCTTTGTAGCACGGAAAGAGAGAGAGATCCATGGCCTTCTTTGTCGCCCAGGTCTTTAAGCAGGTTTGCCTGGTACACCTGTAATCCCACCATGGTGTGCAGACATGCACCGGCTTGGTGGGAAGCGTCTGCTCCACCCTCTGCATCGTCCATTATCCCTGTTCATTCAGCCCCACAATATTAGAATAGCCAGAAACTGTGGGGCTGTAGCGGGATTATATAATGAATCATATAATGAAATATAATCTGAATAGGGATTATTCTACGACCTCAAAACCTCAGTGTGGAGGTCGGGAAAAAAACAGAAGGCCCTGGCATGGAGGTTTTGATCTAACTCGCAGGAAGCGTTTGTCTAATTTACTCTTTTGACAAATGTCCTGCTTCTCAGCTGGCCAATCGATTTTCAACTTGGCTGCAGCACAAGTTACAACCTTCACAAGCTCCTCATATGCAAGGGACTGTGGCGGCAAGTCCACCGTCTCCTCAGTATCGACGCTCATCACATGAACCTCCTTTGAGGAAGAGAGATGCGCCTGGCTCTCTCTCTGGGGGGAAAAAAACGAGGATCTAACGGGTGAGGACCGAGATAAGGATGAGCCCATCACGGATCCCTCCACTAAATCCACTTGCGATCCCCATGACAACAGTCTGCACTGTGCCTCGGCAGCAGTTGGACCAAGACCAGTGGGATCGCGAGACTGGCTGCTCTCATCAAAGAGAGCCATGCAGGAGTGGAGCATACGCAGTGGCAGCTGCTCACAATCAGGACAGTCAGCTCCTTTGAGAGCTGACCGTGCATGCTCCACTCCCAAACAGATGACGTATAGATGACAATCTATAGCGCCGTCCGCTCGCCGATTTACTTTTGTTTTTACACTTTGACATTATCACAGTCTTACTAACGTAGATATACTGGCTGACTGAATGCTTGTGCAACACACATACACACACCACAATGTGCTTACTGAAGAGCAGAAGCTAACATGCTATTGTGTTTCCATGATTTTGTTATTATTAACATACACAAAATATGAATGTTAATAAATGTGAATTGCTGGTTCAAAGCTGAGCTGATGTAAATTTAACTGAAATTTGTGGAAGGACAGTATGTTTGCACTGGTTGTAGTGTAGGACCCCAGGGATCACATCTATTTTTCTCTTCTTTTCCCCTCTATCAGTGTCTGGTGGTAGGAGCAGATTGCATCTGATTGACTTGGGAAGCTGTGAGAAGGTGCTTTGTAAGAGCAGGGACGCAGGAGGAGGTCTGTGTCTGTCTCTGACTGCATTAGGAAATGTAATACTGGCTTTGGCCAACGGAGCTAAACATGTGCCATACAGGTAAGAAAATGTAAATCTTTGCCACAAGACAATAAGAAATCAAAATGGGTCATGTTGCTCCAAATGTGTAGATAACAGTTCTAACGTCTTTGGTATAAAAATTTCTAATCAAATAGCATAACTAGCATAAATAGAATTACATGATAATTCTGAATATCTTCCGGAGGTCGTATGCGTTTCCATAGAAGATGTAATACTGATGCATTTGAGCGCATAATCAAAGATGTCAGCAACAAGCTTGTACCTGTGATCTCTGTGTTGACAGGTTTATTGTTTGACTAATGCACTGCTGTTTTTCTGTATTTTGCTGAGCTCATAGATCCTGCACCTCTTTTTAAAAAAGAGGGTCTTGTCGGATCGCATATGCCTTATTTCTCACCTTTCTAACACCTTTTCGTAGAAATGCAATTTGAAATAAAAACATATTTGTAGCTTTTTGTGATTAATATCATGGCAAGACTGTATAGTGAACCTTTCGATGGTTCTGCACTTTTAGAGAACAGTTAACGGCCAGGCTGCCTCAGTACTTGATTAAACAGCTGACTTTCTGCTGACAATCTATCAACCTTTGTTTATGCTGACAATGAAAATTTATTTTTCCAGGGATAGCAAGCTCACAATGTTACTGCGAGATTCCTTGGGGAACATCAATTGTAGGACAACCATGATTGCCCACATCTCTGACTCCCCTGCCATTTATGCAGAGTCTCTTACCACCATTCAGCTGGCCTCCCGAATCCATCGTATGAGGAAAAAAAAATCAAAGGTATCTTTTTAACTGACTAGAATTAAGGAATTCTTACAATAATTGTATATTGTACTTAGAGGATTAGTGCTGATTTTAACATTTTGATATTTAGTCTAATAGTTTTAGACCAAACAAAATCAACTGTCTAGCAATAACAACATATAAATATGTTTAGTGCATATTAAAATCAACAATTATAGTGAGATTGTAATTGAGTATCGTAACTTTTACTGTCATTGGAAAAATTCACTTGATGTATTGCCCTTGGGTAGTGCTGCATCAGATAAATGGTTTTGAAAACCATTTATATTCATATTGTTGTCTTGGTATTGTATAACTCTTGCCCTCAGAATACAGTCAATGCATGACCTTATTAGACATAAAATGTGTTCATACTTTAGTTGTGACATGGTTAAAACTATACCACACCAGAGTTACAGAGTATTTTTAAATGATATTTTGGTGTTGTTTTTTCAAGTATGCCTCTAGTTCCTCTGGAGGGGAGAGTTCCTGTGATGAGGAAAGGATCCGCCGACCACCACATTTGCGACCATTCCATCCTCGCACTGTGGCCCTTGACCCAGATCTACCATCATTCCTCAGTGATCCTGACTATTCTTCAAGTAGTGAGCAATCATGTGACACTGTAATTTATGTTGGCCCTGGTGGTGCTGCCATCTCTGATCGAGAGCTCAGCGACAACGAAGGACCCCCAACCTTTGTTCCCATTATCCCCTCTCTTAACCGTAAGCAACAAGGGAAAGAAGGGCCAGTTGACCATGATCACTTCAAATGTAACACCTTTGCTGAGCTTCAGGAGCGATTAGAATGTATCGATGGTAGTGAGGAACCTACAGACTTTGTTGGAGAATCTGGAGGAAATTCTGCAACCCCTAAAATGGACTGTGATGCAACCAAATTGAAAGAAGGCTGTGGTTGCATTTCAGTTTCTCCCAAAACTCCTATCAAAGCGCTCTTATCAACACAGGACAGCATATCAAAAAAGTCATTTTCTGTAGCCAGTAAACTGCCTGGCAGTCCAAAACACAAATCCAAATTAGAGCATTCCAAGTTGCAAAGTGCCACATCAGACAAAGATCTCAGTACCATGTCTGAGAGTTTATGTAGGACAAGTGCAGATGGTGAAAAGGTGCAAATGTCAGAAAATGGAACACTCTTATGCACTCCAGGAAAACAAAGTAAAACAATAGTATCCCAAAAGTCGGAGCCTGTAGTTAGGGAAAAGGTTTTTTTCAGTAAAAAGTTACCCAAGCCTGCTCCCCCACCACCACAACAAAAAGACTATGTCAGGGTCAGTAGTGAAAATGAAGAAAAGTCTGCCACGAGGATACCGCCAATTGGGATGAGTCATCAAAAAAGAGATGATTCAAATGAGAACTCACCGCTAAAAGTCCATCACCTTAATCCCAGGACTTCTGGGGAAATTAGGTCCAGTCTTAGGGAAAGGTGCATGGAGAAGGACATATTGAGGACAACTGTAACCCTTAAACAGCCAGTGGAGCTAAATGGTGAGGACGAGCTTGTGTTCACTCTTGTGGAAGAGTTATCAATTGGCAACATTGTGGACAATGGAAGACCCTCCAGTATTGTGAGCTTCAATAGTGATTGCTCACTACAGGCCCTTGCCTCAGGATCACGGCCAGTAAGCATAATTAGCAGTATCAATGATGAATTTGATGCCTATACATGCAATGTTGGTACCTCAGAGGCAAACATTAAAATGGTGGCACCATTACAGGAGAAAGCATGTACTTCACTTGGTAGCCGTGGTTCTTCTATCACTTCATGGCTTAGCGAAGTAAGTGTCTGTACTCTGGAGAATGAAGATGACCAAACAGTAGATGTCTTTCTCCCTCAAGGTACTCATACTGGCCCAGACAGGAGTTTCTACCTTGATTCTCTTAGGATGTTCAAAAGCAGCCCTCAAAAGGAACTTAAGAACTCCTTGAATGATAGTGGCTGTAGCTTTTCAGATTTGGACAACGACAGTGTTATATCAGGCAAACTCTCTCTTAGCAAGTGCCCATCCTCTCAAGAGGCCCCACAACTGTCTGCCAAAAGTTTGCCAAAACTGGCAAAGGGAAATACCATTCATTTATCCGATCCCCAGTCTTTTCAAGATTCTCAAGTTTTCCAGTGTAGTCTTTCCAGGAAATTAAAACCTACCTCATCCACAGCCCAGAGTAGCGGTATCAGTGCAAGCAGCTCCAGTAGAAACTGGAGACGTGAGCCACCAAGGCAAGACTGCATACCAGATCCATGGCACCAAGTAGACAGCTCATTGGAATTTTCTATAACCTCTAATTCAGGTTCTTCATCCAGACTGGCTAAAAATGGAATGAGTGGAATTCCTGCAAGAAAAGCAGGCACAAGCAGCAACAGTGTACCTCGAATGCCCAAAACACTAGGGTCAAACCCATCCCAAAGGGTGGTGGACGGATGTGAAAAATCCAGCAACAACAGGAAGATGGAGTCCCCGAGCAAGATGCCACAGCTCAGACGAGGCGCAACAACACTTGGGACAGTTCCAGTCATACATACGTCCACTGATGTCAAGCTTGCTCAAGATATTGGTTCCTCAACAGGAAGTTTAAAGTTTTCCTCTTTAGGAAAAAGTGGAAAATCAAGCAAGCATGAGGAGAGTATGTCAAAACCTGGCAATGTATCACCACCTCCTCCTCCAGTACGCAAATCTAGTTTGGATCAAAAGAATCTAATCTTGTTTCCCCCAAGTGCCTTAAAGTCTGCTTATGAGGCTGGAAAATCTTTAGCACCAAGGGCTACAGGTTTAGAGGATGATATTGATCTTAGCTCTAGGGGTGATTCAAATAGTTTAAGAATATCTAACTTAAAGTCAGAGCATAGTTTGATAAAAGCAACCTCTAGTATCAAAGCTAGAGGAACTAGAGGTGATACAGGACAGGTATATGGGAGTCAGATATCTCTAGACAGATGTGACAGTTTGTCATCTTTGGGGTCGAAACCTGCTCTTAGTCGAGAAAACAGTGGTGCTAGTCTCAACAGCAAATCAAGCAAGTCTGTCAATAGGTTTGGATCACCTGTTGCCACCTCTTCCCCAATTGCTACCTCTCCACTTTCTTGTATAAACCCAGTAGCCACTGTAAAAAGTGGGATTGGCAAAGGCAGCCTTAACATAAGACAAATACCTGTTAATGCAAACAAAGCTTGTACATTATCTGTAAACAACTCCAAAGCCCTGAGCTCATCCACTAAGTCTCTTGTGGCACCAGCAACAAGGAATGCCAACCTTCCACCTTCAGGAAAGACTGCATTACTTCGAGCAACAGTAGGAGGCAATGGTAAATCCACAAGAGGAACAATAATGGGTACCAAGCAAGCAATGCGGGTAGCAAACAGTCGCGTTAGTGAGTTGGCCTTGGCCAATCCTTCTGGGAAACATACAAAGGGCTCAGGTGATTCAGACAGTGGCAATGACAGTGGAGTGAACCTTAATGATGACAAGCATACCCCAATCCCCATTCTCCCATCTCCATATAGTAAGATCACAGCCCCCAGAAGACCTCAGCGCTATAGCAGTGGGCATGGAAGTGATAACAGTAGTGTCCTAAGTGGGGAGTTGCCTCCTGCCATGGGACGAACTGTACTCTTCTACCACAGTGGAGGGAGCAGTGGATATGAGAGCATGATCCGTGACAGTGAAGCTACTGGTAGTGCTTCTTCAACCCATGACTCCATGAGTGAGAGTGGGATGTCCTCCTCTGGTCGCACAAGGAGCTCCAAAGCACCCAAGAAGAGGTCAAATGGTGAGTAGCATCTCTTGTTGTCTATGAAGACCTGACGTTTTTGATAGTCATATTGCTTGTGTAGTTTTTTACATTTGGCCCTTAAGCATGAATCATGTTGACACTGAAGCCCACATGGAACATAGCTTTTTTCTTTTCTTTTTGAGAACTACTCTAGTCAAAAAGTCTATGAAAAAGGTGTTTTTTTGCAGTTTTATTGTATACATAATATATGCTGACTTGAGATGATATAGCACAGATAATGCTAATACTATGCATCTGCACATCACATGCAATTTAGTCAGGGGGTTTTGATATTAATCTCCATCCAGTCTACGTCCTCATACACATGCAAAAAACTAGCACAGCTTAAAATTTTCCTATTCTTCAATATATTTTTGTTTGCTTGCTATTTCTTTATCCATCCATCTTTTATTCTGTTTTGTTTATCTCATTTGGTTTTGCAATCTTTCAATGTCCTAATTACTTTTCTATCTCACATATTTCCTTTGTCTCTCCGTGGACCAGGCCTCCAGAGGCGGCGTCTCATCCCAGCTCCCTTACCGGACACCTCCTCTCTGGGGAAGTCTGGGTCCACGGGCCAGTGGGTGGACCTTCCCCCTATGTCCGGGCCACTGAAAGAGCCTTTTGAGATCAAAGTGTATGAAATTGATGACGTGGAGAGGCTTCAGCGACGAAGACAAGAAAAGATAGAAGAGGTTAGAATGGGTTGTCTGGTTATATGCTGAATAATACATAGATGCATAACTATGTATAACTATCTTTGCACAGTCAATAACTGAGATGTCAGAGAACAATTTTGTCCATAACTAGCTTCCCAAAGATTTGCTTTGATCTAGGATGAGTTAGATTTTCGTATGTAAAGAGCAATATTATTAGTTCAGAAATATGCTCCATGTATCATATTCAAACTCTAGACACTGAATGAAGGTTTTGGTTTCTTTGCTTCTTATTAAAAATTATTAAGATAATGTACAGCTTAGGGCCTTAACCTGCTAGTAAAAGGGGACGGGAAAAAATGGTTATTTATTTGGAAAGGAAAAAACGGTTTACATTTGAAACACTGGAGTGATGAAAATCAGTTAACTATTTGGAATTAATTGGTTTTGGCAGAAGCAAGCAAGCAAGGAAGGGTGTAAAACTGCGGGAGTAAAATGATGCAGTTAAAAGAATGTTATCTTTTCTATCATTAAATCAGCAGGGTAATGTACTCACATAAATCCAAGGAGATAATCTTCAGTTTGTCTGTCAGAGTTTTTAAGATGAATTGGTATTGCATTGGACAAGATTTACCTTGAAACATGTGCCTTCTATAGCATTAGTGCACAGGAGTGTTTATCTAGGCATAGGGGTATTATAATATTCTTGGATAATAGGAGTGCATGTATGTTGTGTATCCCCACTACTTAGTATAGCTTCTGACATTCTTTTCCTCTTGTCTCCAACAGTCAGTTCAGGATGTTGAGAAGGTATGTTGATTAACTGGCATGGGTGTAGCTCGATTGTATAAATGAATCAGACTGTAATGCAAGGATTCTTCCATTACAATGCCTGGAAAATATCATAGTATTATTATAGTTCTGTAACCCATGCTTCCTTTGTGCAGAAAATGTCACGGTCAGGGGAATATTGAAGTAATTTTATTAGACCAGCATTGTACCAGATTTTTTTCTTCTAGTCAATCCAGATAAACCCAAAATTAGTCTGTGATATGGAACTGTCATTTTAACCATTATGTCCATCTTCTGTCCACAGGGCCTGATGTATTTTAACACTAAACTGAAGGTTCTTGAGAAACGGGCGCAGCAAATCACAGATCTCAGAGCCAAGCATAAGTCTCTGAAAGAAGAGCTGGAGAACACAAAGTCTAGATTAATGATGGATCCCAGCAAGTGGATTGGAGAGTGTAAGTGTTATACCTTTAGATTAAGCTTGTGACTTGTAGTGCTTCTTGTTGACAAAGATGAAAGTTCATGGTAAATACTTCCAATCCATTTCTTTGTAATGACTCTGTTCTGGTTTGTTTTACAGTTGAGGTGGATCAGGATTTGGATCAGGAGTCGCAAGAGTACTTGGAGGCATTGGAACAGGCTACGGCTGAACTGGAATACTGCGTCAACCTATGCAAGTCCCGCGTCATGATGGTGACCTGCTTTGACATCCGAGTAGCATCTGACATCCAAGAAGGACCGCGAGAGGTGGAGGTTTAAGAACAGAATCTGGTGATCGATGGACACTGACAAAGAGATTCTTGTTGACAAAGATGAAAGTTCATGCTAAATACTTCCAATCCATTTCTTTGTAATGACTCTGTTCTGGTTTGTTTTGCAGTTGAGGTGGATCAGGATTTGGATCAGGAGTCTCAAGAGTACTTGGAGGCATTGGAACAGGCTACGGCTGAACTGGAATACTGCGTCAACCTATGCAAGTCCCGCGTCATGATGGTGACCTGCTTTGACATCCGAGTAGCATCTGACATCCAAGAAGGACCGCGAGAGGTGGAGGTTTAAGAACAGAATCTGGTGATCGATGGACACTGACAAAGAGATGGAGGAAGACAGGACCCTGGATGTCTGAAAGGAAGGATAATGAAATGTAGCAGCCGGTCTGGCGATTCCGAGGAAATAAAATTGATCAAAGGATGATCTTTATAATAGGATGGAACACTGAATTCTGCATGAAGTAGGAACTTATTATCTTCTGGAGAAGAGAAAACTGTTCTGGTTAAATGCAGTGCCTCACAATAAACATGGAATAGACTTAGTCAAATGGAAATCCAACAAGCTTACATGCGTTTGACGCATTTCCTTACACAAGGAAAGAGAAGAATCATTCTCACTTACCGAAGAGTTATTCAGCCACACCACAAAGTGCCTTTTTCATATGACTGGTTTGTACATTTGTTGTCAATCATTATTTTTTCTACTGGTGCTAGTGCTATGACCAGCATACCCAAGCCGAACCATATTTTTTTGTTATTTTATTGCATTGTATAGTGTATTTATATGATAATACAGTGTGTGAAATATCATTTTGGGTGCAAAAGGAGAGCAATAAAGCTGACTTTCCATGCTTTGCCTTTGCCTCCTGAACTATCACCTCTGTCAGCATACTGTTATTAGACCTTTTGAGCCTTATGTTGTATTTGTAGTTTTCTGTCTGTTTGAAAAGTAGTGTTTTTTCTACTTTTCAAATAAAGTATCTGTCTTTTTAAGGAACACAGTATCACTCAGCAATGGACAGTCATGCGTGATGCAAGCCAGTTTTCATAAACGTGTTTGGTTTGGTTGCCTTGACTCTTCCAAACCGGACTGAAAATGGATGCATATCCGACTTTGACATGTCTATTTCCCAGAGAATCGTATAGTTGATTTGAATTGGTACTGTTTGCTCAGCCACATTGAATGCAGCCTACGTTAAAACATTTGAATGAACAAGAGAAAAATCCCCAAGAATGTAAAATCTCAAGCATTGTTATTGGTTCTTATCACGTAAATTCATGCAACTCAGTGTCATTGTAATGCTCACGATAGATGCGTGTTGCTAGAGAGGTGTGATCTATTAAAATGCAGATTGGCCTCTTGTTCTTGTTTACTTTAAATAGACACTTTGGCAAAGGGCATTCATCAGTGTAACCTGACATGTCTAGCTCAGGGTGACATTTTTTGCGGTACAGGAAGGACTCTTTTCCATACCCATTCAGACAACAGCATCTTAAAAGTAACCATAACAAATATCTGATGAGATTTTAAGCACTGTGGCCCGCTCAGTGGCATATTTGGTGCTGTTAATACACACTTTTTATAGACTAAGGGAACATTGATTCTGTCATTAAAATCTTGACAGTTCATGTACCCAAACATTACGGTCCAGTCCTTGATGTATTGCAGGTTTTATTAACTACACTGCTGTGGAAGAATATCCAAGCCTTAGTCCTATGCATCCATGCAATCATGGTCTTGAACAAACAACCTCAGCAAATGCAACAGGAAGCATTTAGCACAAATGTTGGTCTCATAGACTAGCCTTCACAGGATATACTGTATAATGGGTATTATTCAGCACTCAATGTGCTGTTTAATAACTGCTGTAAAAGACCACCTGCATTTCTCTGATGTTGAAGACGCCATCACAGAAATTTGCTGGTGAAAGTGATTCAGTGTTTTAACATGTAGATGTCAGAATGACTTTCCTGTTATTTGTCTGTCAAAGGCTGTGAATGAACTTTAGATCTCATTCGACATTGACATTAAGGAACCCAAAACCTTTTCTTGGATTTATTTACCTTTATAAACACTCTCAGGCCCTTTTTCAAGATGCTGCATTAGATTTGTATTTTTTTTCTAGACTTTATTCTTTATCTTTGAATTTTGTAATGATTATGCTGGCATTCACTATACTTTAAGTACATGGATTTAACTGACACCAAACTCAAACTTTTTGTTGAATGAAAGCTGACAACGTATGTTGCGTCATGTTTCATATCAAATCATATTTTCTAACTTTTTTGGTTTTGTAAAGAATTTTCTGACCCTCTGTATAAATGTATTATATGGCAGCTTGGGATAACACTGTTTTTCTTGTGAATAAAAATGTCCTTCTTATTTGTCTTGGTCTGTCCATTTCTTTTCTATAGGTATTTCAAGAATATTTATTTCGTTATTTAAATGGTTTCATAAGGGGAAAAAAAGTTGATAACAGGCTATTTTTTTTCTGAAGAAAATTTCAAGAAACTCTTCAAAACATGCAAAATCTGGGGTGTTGTGGGTTAGTATTAGCATTAATAATTATAAAATCTGCAAACATCAGTAATATTAATATGAAAATTATGTATGATATATTAATTAAAAATATTATTTAAAAAGATTTGATCGCAGTCTTTTTAGCGAGGTCCATTGTTTAGCTATCAGGTTTGTATTCTCACCAGTAATTGGACACAATATTGTGTCACATTGCAAAACAGCGTGACTGTCACACTTTCTAAAACGACCAGTGCACATTTTGGTGTCTGAGTATGTTTAATATAATTGTCATGTCAGCAAAGCATCCCTGTTTTGTTTGTAAATAAAGAACACTTGTGTTATTTTCCATATTTACATCATTATGAAATGCCTTTCAAATATGGTAAATGTCAAGGACAAACATATGGCTAAAAACATGATCATAAACTAGTTTAGCATATCTCTGCCAGAACTTGTTTAGTTCCATTTATAACTACCATGCCTTATTAAATCGTAAACATTTTGTCTGTTGAGTATTAATACACACAAAGTTGAAATTTCATCCAATGCCAAGCTGCTATTAAAACACAGTGGAATTCTAGTTAATAAATCAATCATTCTAGTTAAGTTTATTCATCTTGGTAAACAGAGCAAGAGCTATATAAAGAATGAAGGATATGTCAGCAATCTACAGGTGTTGGAGAGAAATATAGAAGGTAATGAGCTGTGTCGGCAAACCAGTACATCACAGATTCACACAAAAAACACATGCACATGCATTCAACACGGTCCTGTCACCGCATCATCCTGTTGTGTTGCCACCTGCTCTGATTTTCACACATGAATAGTCTTTTTGATTGGGCGTACACACAAACGCACACACACACTTGAGCACACATGCACAAACACATTTGGGGGTGATTACTGCTAAATGCACAGCTCACGTCTTGCAATTTATCAGCCTAAGAATTTAAGGTAATACTTTGGCTTTCTTCTACAAAGAGGTTGTGTATATGGTTCAGGTATTTTCCAGCGCACACTGCACATCCAAAACACACAAGGCCATCATTTAAAATAAAATGCGGGTCTTTAACCAAGCTGCACAGCATGCTAACGATAGCTGGTTACGTTGTACATATGTTGACATCTCCCTGGCCCTATAATTCCCTTAGCCTTTCTGTCTTCATTCCACTGAAAGCAGCAATAATGATTTGGCTATTGTGTTGCAGCAGCTGGTCACTGTATTGCTAATCAAATCTGTAGCCTTTAGCTTAGAGGGCCATGAGTGCTTTTTGACAGCAGAGAAGAGTGCCAAATCACAACAATGACAATGATTAAAATGTACACACCATCTATTCTGGGATACTGTTTCGTATTTATGTGTAACTTTTTACTGGTATTAAATTCTTTCTTAGAGAAAAATGGTATCTGTGAGGATTTCCAGTCAGGATTTAGACCGTATCATAGTACCGAGACTGCTCTCATTAGAGTTACAAATGACCTGCTCTTATCATCTGATTGTGGTTGTATCTCTCTATTAGTGCTATTGGATCTTAGCGCTGCGTTTGACACTATTGACCACAAAATCACCATAACTGGGAGTGACAATAAGACTACATCGGTTCTGGGCATATTACGACAGGATTGCTTTGATACTTTAAAGCTTATGTGCTTTAATTGAGTAAACTTGTTTTAGAAGTAAAATGGCTTTAGAAGGTTTAGAATATGGTGCACAAGTTGTATGGACTTGTTTTTAAGGTGTTTTTGAGAGCATCTGAAACCTTCCACCTCCCCCAGTTCCACCTGTCTAGATGCTATCCTGTCTGACAGATTTATGTATGTGTATTTATGCAGTGGCAACATATCGTGTATCTGTGTATCTATTGACAGTAGCAAGTCTATACTTGATTTGCAGTAGCAGCAGTGTGTTTAGCAGATGTAGTCTGCCAAGATCAAATATATTAATATTGTCATATTCATTTACATGCTAAAACTGTTCTGAGAGTTGTCATGAATGAACTATCAATTTAAAGTCTGTGTGAACTATTTATTTATTTCAGTGCACCTCCTTGCTGTCTCTAGTATTGCAGCAGACTGATGGCTTTGGATAGGATATTCCGTCAAACTGATGTCATCAGAGAAGGAATGACATTCCAGAAGGGAATCAAATTTTCAGATTTTGACTAACTTTGAAGATCATGAAGACAAAGAATATGGATTAACCTGCATTGATTAACTGTTCACCACGAGACAAGTCATGCTAACAAAATAAATAGGGTCAATTTTGATTTCAAGTGGACTTTAAATTCAAATGTCAGATTTTGAACTATTTTGAAGTATCATCATGATATATATTTTTTAAATATAATGTTAAACTTATTACATTCATATGTCAACACGTTTCATTTTGGGATCAGTTTAAACCAGGTACATTTACTCTAAAATTAAACATTTAATGTGGCATAGACTGTAGAATAGTATGCGTCAGAACTTGAGTGTAGAGTTTGTACTAATG